GGGGGGGGCAGATCAATGGGGCATCGATTAAAAGACCTGGCAAAGGCTCCCCGCTCAGGTCCCTAGAGAAGCATCTGATGCAACAGGAGATGGGCTTATCCTTTGGCCAGGCTGCCCTGCAGTCTCAGGTAACTGCCCCGGGGCCAGTGCAAAGCCACCTCACCTACCTTTCCCTTCCCACTGGGCAGGAGCAGCTTCCTGGGGCCTCACTGAACTCTGGAGGGATGGACACTATTTCCAAAGGCTCTTGAACAGGGATCTTGCCCAGATGCTTCCAACACCTAGACAGCTCCAGAAGGGGAGACATTAATTTAGGACTTCAATAACCAGGGGTTGGAGGGAGGGGTCTGCATAGGTAGGCAAAGGGGACAACTGGATGTCCCTCCCCTCCCCTCCCAGAGCTGCTAGAGAGTGGCACAAAGGCTCTCCTAGGAAAGTGGCAGAGAGAGGTCATTCTCAGCGCTACAGCAGAATTCTCAGAGCTTGCTCTGGAGCTCCAAGAATTATGGCGGTCTCCCTAGACTCCCTCCAAAGATCTCTGACTGGAGCCAATGTGGCCAACACAGAAAAATATCAACCCATTAGGACTCTGATCAGAAGGGGCAGGGGTTTTGTGGAGATTGTCACAGCTAGTGTGGACACATCTGCCTATGGAGGCCTGGAGGGAACAGCACTTTAGTTGTCTCTGTCATTTTGGAGGCATTCATATATATTCCTTTGCGTCAGACCAGTCCAGTCCTGGGAGAGAACAGGGTGCTGGGTGAGGCTGCCAGTAGAGTGTCTGCCCTAAATTTAGAAGTCTCAACTTTTACACCTAGGCTTGGGGTGGGTGAACAGGAGTGTGTAAGAAATCAGCCCATTCTTTTTTTTTTTAAAAACCAGCCCATTCTTAAGAACTGGGTGCAGGATGTGGTCTTGTCATGGAATGCACAAAATCAAAGGAACCTGGAAGGGCCTGTGTATTCCCTTGGGAGGGCCAGTGCCCAAGGGATGCTACTCATAGCAGACAGCCCCAAATAGCAGTGGTGCAGTGTCCACTCATCTTGATTTGGGCCCCAACTGGCCTATGTTCAGCTCTCTGGTCTTGCCTTTTGCCTTCCTCGTGGACTTAACCAATTTCTTATTTTAACAACTTCAGTGGTTCCCCTCTACCCTACTCCCCACCAGTGGATCTAGCCCCAGTTCCTTAACCTGGCACACAGGCTCCTGGTCATTTGGTCTCTGATATATCTCCTTCCACCACTCTCCTGAGCACCTGCATTGTTAGGTGAACCAAGTCCTTAATGTTGTCAAACTTCTACTTGCCCTTTGGGTCCTAAGGCTCTTCCAGGATCTACCTCGACCTTGCTGAAAGGGACAGGACCTCTTCTATGCTCCCATAGCACAAGTAACCTTTCTGTATCTAAAAGCACCTTTTCCCTTCAATAGCCTGTGAGCCCTCAGAAGGCAGGGACAATCTTTGATTGAAAGAAGTCATATATATATGATGAGCATCACACCAACTTTGCTGAGGGCTCCACTCAGGCAGCTTGCGTGAGCTGGCTAGCATTCCGTGCCTGCGGTGACTGCTGGAAGGCAGACCACTCTGGAAGGTGCAAGATACCAGGACAGAGCCAGAGACTCTGGAGCAGATCTGGACATACCAGTGATGGCTGGACGGATCCAGAAGCACCAAATGACCACAAAGGTCAGGAGAGAAATAAGTAAGGCAACAGACTCTTTATTTAATGTGGTTTTAAAATACATCAAAATCAAGTCCCTGGCTGTTGTGAATACCAAAAGGAGACAAAGAAGCTGTCAGCACAGCTTCAAACAAATCTGGGTGGCCAGGCTGGGCCATAAGGAAAGCAGTTACAGGGACAAAAGGCAGCACCCCTCCCCCAGGCAGGTACCGGGCTGTCCCTGGGGTGACTGCCTCTGTGCTGTGCTAGGTGGGAAGGCTGGAGCAGCAGCTGGAGAACCAACTCAGCAGGCTTCAGCCCTCCCCCAGAGACACCAGAGCAGCTCTGCTGGCCTTTCGGTTAGCCCTCAGCAGGGCCACCAGGATGGGGTGGAAGAGGGGGAATAACCATCTTTAAAGACGTAACATTCTATTACAGAAAGTGCCTGAGCTCAGCCTATGGTCCAAAAACCTCATGGAAAACAAATCTTAAAAAGTGCTGCTGACACCTCTCAGAATCTGGTGTGCATGAAGCTCTCAGCTGGACAAGACCCTGAACACAAATTACTGTCAGCAGAGCCTCACCTGCCGTGGTCCCCTGGAGGAAAAGCTAGCAATCTAAGAATGCAACACAGCTCTTGGTCCTAAATCTGAGGTCACGTGCATGAGACCCGCCCCAGTGAGTTAGGAACCGGCCTTCATTCTTGGAGAGACACCTCCCTTTATCTGGCCCAGGATTCTGGCTGGTGTAGGCAGCACCCTGGCACCTGGGCTGACTTTGGAAAGCAGAGCAAGCAGAGCAGCTGTAGTGACTGATAAGATTTGGTCAATGGAGAGGAAGAGGAAGAGGAAGAAAAGGGTCTCCATATGTCACCTGGCCTGGAGGCCTAGAGACTGCTCGCTGCAGCTGAGAGCAAAGGTTCCACCCCGCACAGCTGGGGCCACCTTGCTCACTGGACTTGGTTCCTGAGAACTGCTGTGCTACTCAGCTGTGATTTCCCACACCTCGCTGGGCTCCAACAGCCTCCCCCTCCCCAACACTATGGGCTTTAAGAGGTAGCTGAACTGAGGCAGGCAATCACGTGGGCCATTGCAGGCCTTCCTGCTTTCTTTGAAGGGGCGAGCAGAAACTTCTTAGCACAGCAAACCCTGTATGGGGTTGGCAGCTCTCATGCACCTCAGCAGAGCAGTATCTCAGCCAGGGATGGCAAATTAGGTCTCAACACGTGTACTGGCTGCTGGGCAAATCTTGAGAAATGAGGATATGCTAGGGACTTAGCAGGAAATCCTCTGAAGCAAAGTAGGGGTACCTACCACGGGGGGAGAGGGGCAATGGCGTGCTATTCATTTGCCATCTCTGGTCTAAGTCCTAACATAACTCAGAAGTACCTAATACTGTTCATGAACCTAATTATCTGAGGGATTTAAGTTAAGGGCTGAAAAAGTGGGCTATTTGTGGAAGATGAAGGGACCTGTAAGATAATGAATTAACCTGAAGGAAACACAACAAAAAGCAAAAAACATAACCATCCAATACATCTTAGTCTGTGGTTCTCTCAGCTACACCAAAGCTGAGGCCCCACTAGAGATGGGCTTACAGTACCCCAAACTCAGCACGGCCCTGCTTCCTGACCCGACTTATTCTGCTGTTCCAAAGAATTGTTCTGTACAAAGACGGACTAATGTGCCAGCAAGTTTGCAACCAGCAGAACCTTCAGGGTATAGGGTACCATGTATGAGGGACGGAGATGGGGCTGGGGGGAGAAAAGAAATTACACAAATATCTGCAGCCATTCTGTGGATTTCTGGGGCTCTGTCAATGGTGAGTCTCACTCTTACCTATCAGCTGTCAGACAAGAGCTGGGGGCCCCCACACAGGAAGTGGGATGTCAAGGCAGACAGGGCTCAAAGATGGCACACTGGAGGTGGGGATGGAGGAAGCAAAACAGACTCAGAAAGCCAAGGAGGCAGCTGGATCTGGGGCCCAGCAACAGCTGCATGGAGACAGCAGTGATGGCGTCAGCAGTGGCCTCCCAGGATCGAAACCACAGGTGAGCTTGTGGCAAAGCCATCAGAAGCCCTTTCCTTCCTCTCACTATAAACCATCTGATTCCTTCAAGCTGTCAGTATCAGCATGGCAAAGCTGCCAGGTGGGGTGGTGGGGGCACTGGAGGCCAGGAACCCAGGCACCACTGCTATAGCACCCCTTCTTCCTCAGAAGATCCTCAATACAAACACTGCCACATGTGCAAAACAAAAACAAAACAAGAACAAAGGAAACAAAACAAAACCCCAAAACCTTCAGAATCCTTTGGGTGATCTCTTGTCAATCATTTGTGCAGGCTAGAGAGGCACCTGTGAATGATAAGGCTACTGCGAAGCATCGTTGGCCTGGTCCTGGCACTACCAGAGGGCAGGGGAAGCGGTGCCTGAGGGGCTCCCTACCAGCACGTCATCCCACACAGAACATTCTCCAGGTCCCTTGTCCTAGGCAGGGAAGCAGTTCAATCACCGGTGGCTCTAAGTGCCCTGTCAACGCCCTGCCTGGCCACCCCTTTTCTGGGTCAGAAGCCAAGGAGCTTCCAGGAGAACTGGGAGAGCCAGAGCTGCCCATGTCCCGCTAACAAGAGAAACACAATCAAGACCTGGGCGTGTCACCTGTCACAGGAGGGAGGGGCTGAGCCTCAAATAGGGCAGGGAAATGCTCATGCTCAAGTCACTCGTCCTGCTGGCTCACTGTGACTACAGCTCCGTGTAAAGGCTCCTCAGCTCACAGAAGAGCCGCTGACTTCATCTGGACACACCCCCACCTCTGATGCAAGCCCATTTTACACGTTCAGATATAAATGTATGAGGCCTTGAGCATATGCCATATGTAAGTAAAACTGACCCATAAAATCTGAAACCGCAGAGTCAGATGCCAGCCAGGTCAGAGCACCCTGGGCCTCAGCGATGGGAGCCTCGCACGGGCTAGGCCGGCCCGGGCTGCTCGCCCCTTCCCAGCATGGGCTCCCTAGGCGGTGGTGGAGGTGGGCTCCGGTGGCCCCATTTGGCCTGACGCTTCCATGTTTGGTGCTCCAGGGCAGCAAGATGCTTCTGTGGCCCTTGGGGAGCTGGGTGCTTGGACCCTGGGACCCTCGCCACCCTGTTCCTTGGAGGCATCGGCAGCCTCTGGCCTTCGCTCAGGGCCACCATCAGGGAGCGGGCCCCGGCCTCCAGCACTCAGGTCCTGCACCCTCTTGTTCAGGTCGTTGCGCTCCGTCTGCAGCGCCCGGCACAGCTTCTCCAGCCGCTGGATTTTCACCTGCAGGCCCTCCAGCTCTTTGTCCCGGAGTGTTTTCTGGGGAGAGAAATGGGGCCTTCAGTGCCATGTCACTCAATCCCCACCCTGCACCGCTACTTGGTAGAAACATTCACACTCCGACAATGCTAAGGACAGAGCAGAGTCCCCACTGTTTACTTGAAAGCTGGCCCCTTTTGAGTAAACAGCCCTGGTTTATGCTGTCATATGAGACCTGGCTGTCAGATGGGGGTAGTGTGGTGCAGAGAAGGGACACAGCTGGGAGACAATGGATTCCTCAGTTTATCTACCAGGTGGCCTTGGTGAAGTGCTGGCTTTTGAGTATATCCCCTAATCTCTTCAACGGGAGTAGGAACATCACCCTCACAGAGCTCAGGAGAGCTCAGTGAACTGGCACATCTTAACATTCAGCAGGGTCTGGCATGCAGCAGCTGCTCCAGCAATTAGTTATTTCTCCTCCTACATCTGAAGCCACAAAATCAAATTATCTGGGTATAAGCTATGTGCATCACTGGCATCCCTTTTTTTGGCTCCTTCCTTCCCTTCTCTGATTTGCTCTCTTTGCTTCCACTACAGACCTATCTATCACCAAGCTCACCACCTCCCTCGGGGAGACAGCACAGTGTCTTTGGCCTTGGACAGACATGCATGGGAATCCAGCTCCACCTTGTGCGAGCTGCATCGCTTCTTGGTGGGACGTACAGGAAAGGGCCCAGTACTCAGCGGCCACACACCCCTGGCCCCGGCCGCAGATGGCACTCAGCCCACCTCCTCGGCCATCTCAAGCAGGGCCTTGTTGCTGCTCTCCCACCGGGACCGGTACATGGTGGTTTCTTTCTCCAGCTTCTTGATCTTCTTTGTCATCTGGGTTATGTGACACACAGAGGGACATGGTCAGGGGGGGCAGGCTGCCTGTGCATCTGTGTCTCCGAGGTGGGGAACAGTCCCAAGGGGGCAAGGTATCACAGGGCGCGGTCAGTGTCGTCTGTGCCACCCCCAGATGTCTCAAGTGAAATGCCACCAACAAAACAGGCAACAAGACTGCGCCCTCTTCAGGACAGTCTGGAGGGCACACCCACCACTGATACTTCCTTGAGAGGGAAGAAAGGCTGTGACTCTTCCTTATGGCCCACCCCTGCTATCCACCACACTGTCACTGTCAACAGCTCCCGTGAGGCACCCCCCCAGGGATGGCAGCTTCCAGGAGGCAGGCCCAGTGTTCAACTCTGAATGAAGCCATTCGTGCCCCGGCAGCCACACCCAGTCTGGAGCACCATTACCTTTTCCATCTCCTGTTTGAATGTGGTGAACACCTCACTGCTTTTGGAAAGAGTGTTCTGGAACTCTTCAAACTTCTCCGTGTACAGGGCAAGCTGGGTGAGAGAGAAGCCCATAAGTAAGACTGGGCTTCTCGGGAGGGCAGCTCCGGTTGGCACACTCAGACCCGCCTTTGGCCCTCTGACCCAACCATTCTATTGAGATACCATTTTTCTTTAAACAGAAACTATGTATTTGGAAGGCTATAGTCCAAAATGTTAAGCCCAAAAAGCAGGATTTGGCGGGACTTGTATTTTGTCTTTATGTTTGTTTTCAAACTTTTCTTCCAGAATGAAGTCTAATTTATGTAATTAAAATCACCCGTTCTGCCCCCAACTACTAAAAAGCAGCACAACACTTCTGACTAGAAACGAAGTCCTTCGAGCTCACCTAGCCACCTGGTCACCACCACACAGGTGCTGGGCGGGTCCAGAGAGAACAAAGGCTCAGCAAGGTCACACAGGAGTCAAGGTGGTCCTAGAATGAGGGTTCCAGTTCCCTCCCCCCAGGGTGGGGCTCAGTGCAGAGACCGTGGAGGCACAAGGGCAGGACACACAGTCTCACCTGCTGCTTCAGGTGGGTCTCCTGCTGCTTCATCAGCTCGCACATCCTCTGTGACTCCACAGCCTCTTTGAGGAGCTATTTCCGAGACAGGACCCCAGATCCCATCAGAAGCCCCTGGGGGCTGTTTGGCTTTTTTAAGCTACACGCACCATAACCCACTGAGGCCTCCTGCTCTCAGACTGGTGCCTGATCTGGCCAGGCAGCTCCTGTATATAAACCTGACCATGAGCTGAGCCAGAACCCAACCCACCTCCTCCCAGACCCCCCACTCCCGGGGCCTGAGCCTCACAAAATCCTTCTCCCGCTGGTGCCTCTCCTCTGCCTCCTTCAGCATCTCCTGGGCCTGCTGGAGCTTGGCGTCCACCAGCTGCTGCTGCAGGTCCTTGTGTTTGAAGACTTTGTCGATATGCTGCAGGAAAGCATGGTGGGAGGGGTCTGGTGTTAGGCGCTCCCTTTCTCGGGGAGGCCAGTGACTGCAGAGATGCCCCATCTGCAGACCAGGGCACACTGCCCAGCCTCCCACCTCACACTGACATGCTAAACACGCACAAGTACTACAGGACATGGGCCCCAAGTTCCTGGAAGGTCTACTTCTCACCCTCACCTTCTTTCTCTCCCACTGAGTCAGTCTGGGGTGAGCAGAGGGGTTGTAAGGAAGAGATCAGCTCCCAGGAAGCCAAGTAATAAACACACTCAAACCTCTAGCCCCAAAAAAGATTATTACAAAAGTGACAACCTTCACTTTTGTAGCCCAACTCCCTTGTAAATGGGAAGAAAGGGCAAAAAGACACCTCTACCAACACAACAGCTGAGCTCAGTTGGCAGAGACCAGCCACATCTGTATTTGAAGATGAGACATGCAGCCCGAGGAGCCCTGGGAAGCGGGACCAGGTGAGAAAGCTGTGATGGACTCAAATGCTATTTCAAAGTTCAAAAAAAAAAACAAATGAAAACAGGGAGGTGGGGAACTGAATGTAGTTTTTGGATGTGGGAAGACAAGGTGGTTGAGACAGGTCTAGTCTGGGACATGATGAATTTCAGTCACCTGTGATCTAAGGTCCAGAGGCTCAGGGGGGCAGGACAAGAGTGACTGAATCTGACTGGGGACAGGGAGCACCTCCACCTCCACAGGCAGTACTGGGGGGAAGGAGAGGGAAGAGGAAGACAGCCCTCAGCTTCTCGAAGCAGGTGCCTCACTCTGATGTCAGGAAAATTCCATGTCTCTCAGTGCCAAGGGACAAGAACCAAACCAACTCCTCTTAAATCAGCCTTGTTCCCAGACGTCAAAGCACAGGAAAAGAAGGGGTAGGTCAGGGGAGGCCCATTCTGGCCCCCCACACACATGGGACCGAGCCCAAGAGGATAGAGTCTTGCCCATCCCACCCACCACCACACCCCAGGGCCTGGGAAGGGGCCTCGACCAGCCTTGTAAGGTAGCTGCCAATCACCTTTTTCATGACAAAGAAACAGAAACCCAGAACAGCCAAGTTAATGGTGTGTGGGGACCCAAAGGGAGGGATTTGAGTGCCTGGGGCGGCAGACAACACCAGCCAAGGCAGTGACACCCTGCCCTTGCAGGTGGCCGGGGCAGCAGAGCAGCAAGAAAACAGCCCTTAGAGTCAATCACTGATGACAGTTCCAGCTCCTACCCTGTGATTTCAAATTCTAAAAAACTCTGAGAGCTGAAATTGTCATAAGAAGGCAGAATAATCTGGCCTGTACCATTGCAAGGTTAATTATAAACCTAGGCGAGTATACTCAGAAGTTTAATTGCATAAGGATTAACGTGTCTGATTTTGGGTTGCTGCCAAAAGGTCCTGCTGGGGGTGCTACATAACACACAGTGCACGAACATAACTCCAGTCTAAAACTAGGACAGTTCTAATTTCAAGAGACACCTGGCCCCACCATTTAGGATGAGGCACTGTGGACCTGTGGCTTTCTCTTCTCCGGACCCAAGATCCTCATCTATACGAGAATGTATGGCATCACTCCCCTCCCGAGGAAAGAGAGTGAGTGAGTGAATGGGATGAAGCCTGCAAAGTGTCCCCGGCCTTCCCCGCCCCCTCTCCCACATCCTCACCCCGCCACCCTGCCGCAGACCCCTCACCTCCTCCCGCAGCTCGTACTGCTCAATCAGCTTCTTGAGCCGTTCAGCCAGCTCCATGTTCTCCTGGCGCAGCTTAGAATTGCGCTCATTGTGCTGTTCCATCTGCAGCTGAATGTCATTCAGCGTCACCTGGAAGTGCGAGGTCACCTCCTTGCGTTTCTCCTCCTCTTCCCGGGCCCGCTGCACGCCTTCCTCCTGGGCAGAGAAGGCAGCCCCGGCGCCATCATGCACTGCTCCCCAGCCAGCCCCACAGGACTCCCCCACTAGCCCAGGGATGGTCTCTCCCAACAGCCTTCCCTGCTCTCAAAGTGAGGAGTGAGTAGCCAGGCTCCAAGATGTCACCCAATGGGGCTCCTAACAAACCCCTCTGGGTATCAGGTGACATCAAATGAGGCTCCCTAGAAAAACGCAGGCATACGTCTAAGCACCTTTCTAAAGAAATCTGGATCTCCTAAAGTCTACTCTTCCAGACCTCAGAATAGATTTGGAAGACCTAATAGTCTCAGTTTAATGTGCATTCAACTCTGCCTCTCCCTCTCTCCCAACCAGTTAGTTAAAATTCAGTAATACCCAGGGTTGCACAGAATTAGGCACTCAGACACTGTTGGTGAGAAGGTAAGCTGACAAAACCTATTAAAATTTAAAATCTTCATACTCTTTGACTCAGACATTTCACTTCTGAGATTTATCCTATGGATAAATACATAATTAGCGAGGGATATATATAACAAGAGTTTTCAGTGTAGCTCTATACATGTAATAGTGAAAAATTGGAAACAATCTAACATACATTAACTAGGGCACTGATCAAACGCAGTACACCCATGCAATGACGCTGTTAGAAAGAATGTGATAGTCCTATATAAACTGATGGGGAAAGATAAGGCATTGAGTAAACTGAGAAAATGGAACAGGATATGAAACAATACATGTATAATAATGTTGTTTAAAAAACCATATGTAAGATATTACATGTAGACAGGGAAGTTAAAAAGCTGTACTTAAACTTACACATAAGTAGGTTTACTTCCCAGTGGTTTCTGCTGGGACTGAGGTTGAGGAGGATGGGCAACTATCACCTTTCACTTGTGAGACTCGACTTGTTGTCACCTTTGAGTCCCTTACGTCACATTTACATTAAATTTGTAACGTTTAAAAGATAAACTAAGTGTGGGGGTTGTTCTATGCATTAAAAGACGCACTCCTGGACTCTGCCCAGTAGATACCAGTAGTAACACCCCCCCGCCCAAAACAAGTTGTGACAACCAAAAATATCTCCAGACATTGCCAAATATTCCATGGGGGGCATGACTGCCCTCAGTTATCAACTGCTGTAGAGGTCGCAATTCTGCTTTGTATCACCAGAGACTAGTTTTGCCTGTTTTGGGACTTATCGGTAGGCTAGTACTGTACACAGTTTAAATTCTGGCTTCTTTAGCCCAGCGTCTGTCTGTCAGATTCATTCACATTGTTGCATGTATCATAGTTGATTCTCTTTTACTGTTCTGTAGGTATTCCTTCTTATGCACATACCACAATTTGTTTCTCTATTCTTTTGCTGACGGAGATTAGGACTTTTTTCTACTTTTTGGATATTATGAATAGAGTTACTTTGAACATTACTGTGAAGAAAAAAAAAGATAAACTAAAATTGAGCAAAACAAGCTGCGAAATACCTGATATTTATGGATGCAAATTTTATAAGAAATATAAAGGATGTGCATACACAGTGAGCAGGCTTCAACCAGATGACCCCTCCCCCCATCCACCCCCAGGAGAAGCAGAACGAGAAAGGCCCCAGCACTCTGGACTGACCACGCTCCGGGAGAGGAGCTGCCTGTCCTTGTGACGCCAACTCCCCCAGGGACAGCTATGGAATGGGAAAATCTGAAGCCCTGCCCTGGTCCCTTTACCTCACCTAGTACAAGTCCACGTCAAGTGGTTACCAGTAGCTCTCTGTACGGTACAACATCATGGGTGAAATTACTTCTGTGCCGAAGGCCCGTGCTGCTTTCTAAGAGGAAAGCCCACCGAAGACGAGCAAGGTTGGGGAAATAGGCAGCCCACCTTGAGGGAGCGGTTGTGGCGCTGCAGCTCGCGGCACAGGCTCTCCAGCTTGCTTCGAGCCAGGACAGCCTTGCTGTGCTCGCCACGCAGGTGGTCCTTCTCCTGCACCAGCTGGCTCTGCTTCTTCTGCAGGAGCTTCATCTGCTTCTGGGAGTTCCGGTGCTCCTCCAGCTGGGGACGGGGATGGGGAGGGCAGGTAAGGGCCCTGCGGGGGGCTCTCCCCACTGGGACCCAGGGTCTCCTCAACTGACCTGAGTCCAGCCACCACAGCTGAGGCAGGACACTGTGCAGGGGCTTCACACACACCCCCCGTAGCCCCAAGGGCTCCATCTCAAGGACCCGTTAGCAGACACTCAGGACAAGCAGAGGTGTGTAGCCAGCAGATCCCAGTTTCTCTCCCAGCTCTGACTCCAGAGACCAAGCTCATGAGACTCCCAGAAGGTGACATTCCTCCAACTCTAGGGACACTCGTGTCCTCAGACGAGCCCACCTGCTACCCCTCCTTGTCCTCAACAGACCCCCTCACTCACTCTCGCTGCTCCAAGACTTTTCCACTGTTCACCATCTCTCTCCTCAACATGATTCCCAGCATCAAACTGGCCTTTTCATTTTGTCGACAGATAATCCTTTTTGCTCCCTGGCCTCACAGTCCTTCACCTCCTCCTCGGAACCTGACCTCTCCCAGCTTATCTCCCTTCCCATGAGCCTATTCAGTGCTAAACAGGACAAATACAATTTGACTTAAAGCAATCAAAAATGTTCTTATGGCCTGCCGACCTTCTGAGGCAGGGAGGGAGCGAGGAGAAGGAGGAGAACTGACCAGTTCGGCATACTTCTTGCACAGAGCTGCGAGCTTCTCCTCTGGGGTACTCAGCGTGTTCAGGGTCTGCATCAGCAATGTGATCTCCTTTCCTGCAAAGCACAGGGAGCAAAGGCATGTACCCCCTTCTCTGGGGGTCCCCTTCAGGCCCCAGAGGCAGCCCTCCGCGGATTGTCTGTGTGTTTCATGGGGGCTGGGGCCAACTCAGTTCTACCTGTCATTGAGCCCCAGTACTGCCCCCAGTGCCCATCACAGAGGACATGCTCAACAAATACTTCTTAAACCAATGACTGAGCCTCTGTGAAATCTGCTTGGTGAGCACCAGGAGCGGGAGAAAGAAACTACCTGCTCAACCAACAGGTGAAAGAAAGGTGCCCCACCTGTGAATTCAGTGCTACTGTTTCAATGCAAGGAAGGCCCTTCTGAAGGAGGAAAGATGCGAAAAGGAATGGGTCTCCTTCAGAACACTGCACTCTCGTCAACAGAGACAGCCAACAGTGAAGTTTAAAATGAATATCCCCCAAAACAAATAAATAAAATAAAATGACTATACCTTCCAGTGTTTGATCCTAAGATTAAAATAATCAAAGGAACCTTCTTTAAATTAGTGTGACAGGTAGGGAGTGGGGGAGGAAGGACTAAAACGTGGGTATAATATCACCTAGCTTTGATTCAACACCCAAACCCTCAACCCCCACCCAAGTGACTCCTCCGCTGCCTGTCCCTGAGTCAAAGAGAGGGCCATCATACATAGCACTGCACCAGGCTCCTGATGGAGACGCTGACAGATCAATGCAGATGCTGCAAACCACTGGCACATAGGCCAAATACAACCCACAGATGGGTTTTATTTGGCTCCTAGTGTATCAGTTGCCAACAGTTAAAAATCTAGAGATTTCACATAATAACTCTAGAGTTCTGGCTTTAAAAAAAAAAGAAAAAAAAAGATTGTTTCACTTAGCTGCAGTTTTACATGCTATCCACTTGCTGGTACCAGGTGGTAGTCAACCCTTTGGGTCAAGTAGGCATTTTCTTGGTCCTCATGGGTCCTCTGTCTAGCTTGGTTAGCTTGAGTTTTCAACCCTGATCTAGTCCAATTCTCTTACTGTGTAGAGAAATAACAACTAAGGACCAGAGAGGAGAAAGGTCTTGCCTAAGGTTATACAGCAAGTTAGAAATGGTGCTGGCTGGCACAGGACTGCCCACTCAGGCCTCCTGCTTTCCATCTTCTCAAAGAGAGCAGGTAGGACTTCAGTTCCCACTTGCTCCCAAAGCCAGAAGCCCTTGCACAGTGAACAACCTGCACACCTCTATGCTATGGCCCCACAACCCCGGCTTTGATTAAACTACATAGTTTGACTCACTGTTCTGGAAGCAGGGTTTCCTCTGAATCGTGGCAGAGCAGGCTATCCCAGGAATGTCAGGTCCAAACTGCCTCCCCTCACCAGCCTCCCAAGTAGCTGCCCTCTGCTCACCCAGACCCTTGGATTTCTTCTTCTCCTGCGGCCTTCGGTGGTCCCGGTCTACGACCTCGTCACTGGCCCGGATCTCATCTGTGCCTGGCTCCCCCTTGGAGGTCTCCTTCTCACCATTGACTACCGGCGTCTCTGGCTCAGGCTCCCCATTCCTCGAAGCATAGGTGCGGGACTTCTCTGCATCTTCGGGTTCAGCAGGCTCACCCTGTGCCCCCTCCTCGCCTGGGCCCCCCTGATTGTTGTCCACACAGTATGTACTGAGGATGTCTTCCAACTGGCGGCTCAGCTCCTCAGAGACATCACGGAGGGCCCCAGACTGAGCGGTTTTGGCCTGTGCTCCTAGAGCAGGAGCGAAGGAGGGGTTGAGAGAGAAATAAGGTGGTTATGCTATTGGTTGGGATTTTTCAGGCCCAAATTTACTAATTTGGGTTAAATGTTGCCTAAGTTCTTTAAGCCTCAGTTTATTTACCCATAAAACAATGTAACTATTTATCACGACTGCCCAACCATGCTTGTTGTGGGAATATAAAAAATCAAGTAAGTATAAAACTTTCAACACATAGGTGTGGCATCATGTAGCAGGAACTCGACGTCTAGTCCATCCCCTGCTCCTCCCCACAAATGTCACCTCTTGCTATTTAAAAAGTTCCAGAAATGCCTTAAATATGAACAGCAGTTATCCACTGGTGAATGATGGGCTTCTAACCTGGATTTGCCAGTTGGGTGTCTCACCTGACTGCCAACCTGAATTAAACCCGTCTAAGCCGTCTCTCAATAGAGTTCTGTCCCTGTCCTTAGTGTGGGAGGCTCTGTCAACTACTCAGCACACGGTGGGAACTGCACAGATTCAGCCGTGTCCTCCTCTCACTCTACATTTCCTCCTTTCTGGGTAAACAGTGGCCTTGGCCTCTAACTCCAGAAGCTAGACTGGCGCACCACAAACTCCTCCTCCCGACCGCTGGAAAAGCAGAGCTGGCACACACCCTCAGCCTTCCCTGGAGCCTGGCTGGTGGAACCTTCAGCTTCTGTCGCAGGAGCCGACTGGCTGGGCCGCCCCTGGGCTCCCTCTGGTCCTGCTTCCGGTTGCCCCGGGGTGTTTTTGGGGTTGGGAGCGTTGCCTGATTGCTTGGCAGCCCCATTCTTTTTGTCTTGGTTCTTCATTTTGGTTTGCAATGTTAGGTAAGGAGCAGATCCTATAGAAACAAACACACTTGCTATTTTCCAGACTTTAAAATTCTTCGCACCCTGGATCAGAAATCCCAATACCAAGCGCGCAAAGCTTCAAATCGGCCGGCCTTCCCCGGAGGGAGCCAGCGGCTCTCCCTATCTCTAGTCGGTCAGGGAAGTCTAGTGTGCCCAGCAGCGGGAGAGGAGAGGCCTCCTTTTTCCCGAAGCCACTTCCCGGCACAACACGGCCCCTTCACCAGAGGCCATGAGCGGGATAGGCTCAGGGTCGGGGACTGACGTGGCGGGACGCTCAATTCCC